AGTTATTAAATAGGTGTAGTGTGCAATTACATCAGTGGGAGCTACATTTTAGTGCAGGCGCTTACAGAGTGAGGTCGACATAAGCTGCCTATGTGAAAAACCTAAAACTCTGAGTGGCACAGTTAAGCCAACCTAACCGGCCATGTAGACAGCACTAGGTTGCTGGAAGAATTCTTCAGTCAACCTAGCCACAGCCTCTAGGTTTGCTCTCCAAGCAGACTGACACATGGGGGGTGGGGTGGGGGGATGTTGTGGCATCGCCTAGCTGTCTGAGCATTATTAAATGCTCATCAAAAACGATTAGCTGAGGCCAACCCCCTATCAAAGGAGAATCCCAGAGAATCCAGTCACCAGGATGTTGACATTTAGCAACCATACCCCAGAGGGAGAGGGATTTCTCCACCTCTCAGCAGGGAAGCTGAGCAAAAAGCCCAGCTGGAGAACAAAGGACGGGGAGGTGGGGGAGAAGTGCTTGCTCCTGGAGGAAGCTGGGAGCTCTCTCACCCGGGAACTAAGGAGGTCAGACAGAGACCAACAGAGCCTGGACCTGGGCTCACTACAGATCGTCTGGGCTCTGGGCTGACCAGAACGGTCTATGCTTTAACTTTCCTGTCTCTGTGCTAACTTATGGACTGTCAATGCTGTGTTCCAGCTGACTGATCAGTCAGACTGTTTTGGAAACGCTCTGTGAGTGTCCCTGTAAACACTGGCTGGGTGCATCAAACCCTGCAAAGTGGACAAGTCTCTCCCAGGAGTCTGGCTTAATTGGACTTGCTGAGAAGGTTCACCGTGTGAGGCAGAAGCAGGGCCGGCTCCAGGCACCAGCGCAGCAAACTGGTGCTTGGGGCGGCCCATGGAAGGGGGTGGCACGTCCGGGTCTTTGGCGGCAATTTGGCGGCGGGTCCCTCAGTCCCTCTCGGAGGGAAGGACCTGCCGCCGAATTGCCGCCGAAGAATGAAGCAGCGCAGTAGAGCTGCTGCCGAAGTGCCGCCAATTGCAGCTTTTTTTTTTTCGCCCCGTGAGGCAGCAAAAAAGCTGGCGCCGGCCCAGGGCAGAAGTGCTAGAGCCCAGAGGTTCAGTCCCAGGAGACAGCAAGGCCATGTGGCCAACCCTGAAGGAAGAGGTTCCTGCCAGACACTGTTCCAAAGCTGGGGGTGCAGCACGGATCTGTGACAACGGTACGCCCCCAGAAGCAGTGGGGAGCAGTGGATGGTGTACACCCACTAGCAGTACCAGACCACAGGGGACAGAAAGCAGTAGACAGTACTCAGCCAGCAGCAGTACCAGGGTGCTGGGGATGGGGAGAAGTAGACAGTACTCACCCAGCAGCAGTGCCAGGGCCAAGGCACAGGTTTGGGGAGCTGTGGATGGTAAACACCCAGCAGCACTAGCAGAGTGTCCCGGATCCACAGGACTAGTGCTGTGCCCCCTCCCTCTTCCTTCAGAGTCAGCCATGCGGCCTCGCCACCTCCTGAACCTTTGGACTCCAGCACTCCTGCTCCACACTGTGAGCTCTGCTCAGTGAGTCCAACTGAGACAGACTCCTGGGACAGACTTGTCCACTCTGCAGGGACTAATGTTCCCCTGCCAGTATTTAGAGTGATCCTCAGAGAGCGCTGTCGGGTTTATTAGTCAGCCAAAACAGAGCATTGGCAGTCCGAAGGTTAGAACAGAGTCAGGAAGGTTAAAGCATGGACCGTTCTGGTCAGCCCAGAGCCCTGTAGTGAATCCCATGTTCAGTCTCTGTCTGACCTCCTTAGTCAGTTCCCAGGTGAGAGTCCCCGATTCCTTCCAGCAGCCAACCCTTACCCCCCACCTCCCACCTTCCCCATCCTTTGTTGTCAAGCTGGGCTTTTTGCTCAGTTTCCCTGCTGACAGGTGGGGAAATCTCTCTCCCTGTAGGTCCTTAGTTACTAAGTGTCCATGTCCTGATGATTGGCTTCACCATTGTCTTCTCCGATTCTCCTTTACTTTGGGGGTGGCCTCAGCCAGTCCTTTTTAATGGCCCATCCCAGCTCAGACAGCTAGGCAACATTCAAACTGATGTTTCTTAGCCTGCCCTGAGAACACTGCTGCACCAGCATCAACTTCCTAGACATCACAATCAGCTTCAACAATGGAACCCAACAGAAAACCACAGACAAGAAACACAGATCCAGTAACCACCCCAAACACACCAAGAAATCCTTTATCTACAGCCAGGCCCTCGGATACTGAGGAATATGCTCGAAGGAGGAAGCCTAGGACACACACCTTAACTCATGTAAAACTGCCTTCACCAAACAAGGACACTCCACCAGAGAAGTAGATCACAGCCTGGAATGGGCCACCAAAATACCACAAGAGAACCTGCTTCAATATAGGGAACAAAACCTTCAGAGCGCACATTCCTAGTTGTCACCTATCATCACACACTGGAACCAGACGAGGTATTAAACAATTACAACCCATACTCAATGGCAAAGTTCCCACTACGTTTTTTTTACATCCATGTGCAGAATGAATTTTGTTATGTGCACCAATATGGAGGTGATGTGTGGTGGGGGTGGGGCCGAGGGGTTCGGAGTATGGGAGGGGGCTCAGGGCTAGGGCAGACAGTTGGGATGCGGGGGGTGAGGGCTCTGGGGTGGGGCCAGGGATGAGGGGTTTGGGGTGCAGGAGGGGGCTCAGGGCTAGGGCAGAGGGTTGGGACGTGTGGGGGGGTATGGGTTCTGGAGTGAGGCCGGGGATGAGGGGTTCAAAGTGTGGGAGGGGGCTCAGGGCTGGGGCAGAGGGTTGAGGTGCAGGGGGGTGAGGGTTCTGGCTGGGGATGTGGGCTCTGGGGGGGCAGGGATGAGGGGGTTGGGGTGCAGGCTGCCCCAGGGCTGCGGTGGGGAGAGAGGACTCCCCCCACCCCTCTCTTGCTGCAGCAACCCAGGACTGGGGGAGAGCGCCTCTACCCGCTGTGCAGCCCTTAATAGCCTGCTGCATGGCCGCGCAGCTTAGAGGGAACTTAGCTCAATGGGGATGTTACAGGTCATGGCTCCTCTCCTACCTTCTTCCCTGCAGAAACTGCACAGACTCTAGTTCTTGTTCCTTCACCAGACCCTTTTATTTTAAGTTCCCTCCACCATTTCTACAGCAATCCCTGTGTAACAGTCTATTTACAGCACCAACAGCCCTTTTGGCCCTCTCCCCAGGACCTGTGGGGTACAAATGTCTCCCTCCCCTGAGAACCTCGGTGTAACTGGTTTCAACTAGCCCTGGTCCCCTCTCTCTTCCCCGCCCCTGTGGGACTTCCTTCCTGCCTCCTTGTCAGCCCAGCCGGAAGATCTAATTATCTTCCTCAGCTTTCTCAAGGGGAACTAATGAACATCGGAGTGATCAAAGGACAGGCTCACCTGTGTGCACCCTGCACTCTGTCACGCACCTCCACCCTTGCCTACCGCTGACATTCCTTCTGACTCTGGCCCGCCCTTCTCTAGAGGAGGTGCCAGGTACCTCTTTCCTGTGCTCACCCCCAGGGTGATTATCCCCCCTCCACCTACAGAAGTCACATTTTGTGGGTGGGGGACACCCCCATGATTTTGTTTTGACCCACTGGTCTTCACACCAAGGGCAACTTGAGGGTTTAATTCCTCCCTGTCACTCTCTTTGCTTTGGAGTGGGGTCTGTCCTGTCCCCTCCCCATGTTGTTCCTCTGTGCACTCTTGCTCTCCTAGTCCTACCCACTTATCTCGGGGCTCCTCTTCTCGAGGCCCTGGTAGCGAACCTTCCGAGAACAGCCCATCCCACTCTGGTATGTCCTGCCTTCCCTTTTCTCCTAATGCCCACTCGGCTAATTCCTCCTTTTTTCCACTTTCCGCTTGGGAACGTTTGTTTCCCTTTGCCATCCTCGGCTTATATCACGTAGTCTAGGGTTCTCCTGCTCCTCTACTTCACACCCTTTCTCCATCTTTGACCAGTTCCTTTCTGCCATGGACCCCAACTAGTTGCTTTCCTCTTAAAGGGGAAGGGGCTCCAGTCCATCCCTACCACCACCGGATGTGGCAACCTATCCACAACCCCAACCCATTTCCACCTGAACTCTCCCCAGACCTTCAGGGGAATCTCGGCCAATGGGCAGAGCTTTCTCTCCCCATGATGCACTCCAAACTCAGCCTGTCTCTGAGAAGGATCCAGTGTGGCTTTACCACATCTTTCCTAGCCAGCGAACATCCTGATATAGTGTCCACTAGGCCCTTCTCCCATCCCCTCCCCACCTTCATCGAGACGGTTGGCATTTTCCTCTGTTGCAGGTCCCAGTCCAACCACAACATTATGCCACTTCCCAGTCCATAGATGGGCAGTCTCTTTTTATAGGCCCTGTCTCCCACATTGGTAACAGGTAATTTCCAGCCTCCCTGGAGTGAGTTCTCTGTAGGCTTCATCCCTACCACTTCTCCAACCCTCTTTCCTAGCTCGAGCCTGTTAAACAAATGCGCACCCTTGTGGGGAAAATCTGCTTCCTCAAACTCTTCTGTGAGTTTGACCGCTGTCTCCAGGATTGTGGGTTGGTGCCTCCTCACCAAGACACGGGTGTTCTCTGGAATGCTTTGTAGAAATTGCTCCAGGATATGGAGTCCATGATTTCACCCACAGTCTGCGTGCCTGGCTTCAACCAGAAGGTAGCCCAATCAGTTAACCTTTGTGCACATTTCCTGGCCCGTACATCTCCAGACTATCTAACAACCCGAAACATCTGCCAATGTTTCTCTGTAGACAATCCCACTCGGACGAGCATGGCTGCCTTAATGACATCAAAGTCTTTAGTCTGTTTGTCACCCGAGACCATGCAGGCCACTTGAGCTCCCCCGCCAAATTGGGTGCTAACAGGGGGGGCACATACCTCTGTCCCAGCCAGCTCCCATTGCTACCCTCTCAAATGTCATTAAAAAAGCATTGGGGTCAGCGGCAGGTCCCATTTTACACAGGCCATTTACCCCCAGGCTCCGGTTACCGTTCCCCGTACCAGGACTCACCAGTGTCTGAAGCAACTGCTGCTGCACTTGTGCTTGCTCCCTGATAAATTTCTGCAAGCTCCTCTGTTGCTTTGCTTGCCAGGCCAGCAGGGATTGTCTCTCCAGCTGGTGTGCCTGTTGGAAAGATTGCATGCTCTGTTGCAGCTTCTTCTGCTGGTCCACCAACCACTGCAGAGTCTGCTCCATCGTACGGGTGCCAAATATTTGCAGCAGCCTCCCCCGTGTCTCTCAATCGCCACAACTGGGGGAGTCAAGATCCCGGACAAGCCCCCAAGTGTCACGGGGCATGGCTCCTCTCCCACCTTCTTCCCCGCAGAAACTGCATGGACTCCAGTGGTTGTGCCTTCACCAAACCCTTTTATTTTAAGTTTGCTCCACCATTTCTACAGCAATCCCTGTGCAACAGTCCAATTACAGCACCAACAGCACTTCTGGTCCTGAAGGGAACAAGGTCTCCTGCCCCTGTGGTCTCAGTGTAACTGGGCTCAACTAGCTCTTGTCTGGTCTGGTCCCGTCCCATCCTGTCTCCCTCTCCTCCCCCCATGGGACTTCCTTCTTGGCTTCCCATCCCATCCATCCAGCCAGTCCGATTCTCTAATTACCTCCCTAAGCTTTCTCAAGGAGAACTAATTTACATCGGGTGATCAGAGTGCAGGCTCACCTGTTCTCACCCTGCACTGTCACAGGGGACCACAGCCTGAAAGAAATCTTTCCTAAACCCCCTCTTCTGGCCTTCAAACAACCCACCTGCCTCACCAACTCATCATCAGAAGCAAGCTCCCCACAGACCAGGACCCACCAGCGGCATCAGACCCTGCCAGAACAACAGATACAAAATTTGCAGACATATCATCACTGCTATGATGATCAATAGCTCCCGCAACATACCTTTCAAGATCCACAGATCCTAGAAGAGCTATCCCAACACGTGTTGTACCTCATCTAGTGCACTAAATGCTCCAATAACAATTCTGAGGGTGAAATGAGACAATCACTGTGCTCTCAAATGAACTCACACTGAAAAACGCTAAAAGACAAAAACACCATAGCACCTGTGGGCAAATGCTTCGAAAAGCAATCACTCTAACCTGGCCTCTCAGTTCTCATCCTCAAAGGAAACCTGCACAACACCTTCAAAAGATGAGCCTAGGAGCTTAAATTCATAAGCTTGCTAGACACTAAAAATCATGGACTTAATAAAGACACTGGATTTATGGCTTATTACAACAATCTTTAACCCACACACACCCTTTTTTGTCCTATGACTGCAGTGGTGTTAATGAGCCACTTTGCCTTGAATGGTCGCTTAGAATATGTGTTAAATCCTTATGCTAAATAATCGGTTCTAATTTGTACTTAGCTGTGCCACTCTGAGAAGTTTTCCCAGACTTGAAGAAGAGCTCTGTGTTAGCTCAAAAGCTTGTCTCTCTCACCAACTGAAGGTGGTCCAATAAAAGATGTTACCTCACCCACCTTGTCTCTCAGAGCAAACAGTCCTTTCTCCCCGCACTCGGTAATCATGTGAAAGACAGGGGAAACTGATGCACACATAGGAGTTTATACAACTACAGAAAATTCCCACTTTGTCACGCAGAGCCAGGGCACTGGGGACAGGGAGC